GCTACGCACGACACCAGCGGCAGCCGGGCAGCAGTGCGGCGCACGCTCACCTCACCACAGCAACCCTCCACAGAGCGTGGGGCTTTCTCGTGCAGAGCATTTCCCGCGACAGAACGTGCGCGAGTCCTCGTTGAGCTAAATTAAATTGTATTTGGCGCATTTCAGACATCCAGTGATGCCACGTTAATGCCCTATTTCAAAGATATTAGGCAAATTTGCTGTCAGCTTGGCCCCGATGCGGCTGCTAGGCTGGCATTCGGCGTACCAAAGCTGGTCAACGGCTCATTCCATCGCCTGAATTCCAGGGTGATGTTTATTATCTGGATGGCGTTCCCTTGGGTCTCGTCCACGATGGGAAAGCGCGCCTGATGGGGCGGCGGAGCCCCTTAGCAGAGGGCGAGAGCCTAGCGTGACCCGTGTTTTTGCCTTGCAGTCTCCACGGCCGGTATACTCCGGAGACTCGGCCCGGCAGGCCTGTTCGACGACCTGGTCCCTTGTTGCCTCTCCTGCAAGCGTCTATAGCGGATATCTATCCGTACCGAACACCACGCTACCAAGGGCATATAAGGCCTGGCGTACACCACCTCCGAAGATGCGGGCTGTGCCTCTATCTCTTCCGAGGCGTTGCATACCAACGGATAGACCCGGTTACCACCGTGTCAACCCTGCATCACGGGCGGTCCCAGCTGGTCCCTGGCCATTGCATGACCTACGCCTCTTCATGACTTCACGCCTGAGGTCGAGTGAGGGAAAAACGAACGAGTCGACAGTGTCATAGTAAAAAGGACAAAAGCGTATCTTCGTAGCGCGCTGCCGATCAGACAATTACCTGCATCAGAGCAGAACTGAGGTCGTCAGGCTCCTTCTCAGTCTTAACCATAGCCGAGCCGTACTGCTTGGCTATGCTATCTCTGCTATCTACATGCTCGGCTCGGCTCGGCTCGGCTATCGGATGCGTTCCGCGCTTATCACTCTTCGCGGCCATTACCGTTTCTGCACGACCCGTCCCTCGTTAAAGGGGCAGCCAGCTGCGAATCGAAAAAAGGGACCTGTCAGTCTTGCCTAAGCCTTGCAAGCTGGATCAAGGAACAGCTTAAAAAAGAGGAAAAGGAGTTGCAAGCAAACACGGCGCACATCAGCTGGATAGGCTTTGGTTGAGAGATTTGCCGTACCTAATCATCGGGAAAACAACTGGGGAAATAAGAAGCAGCAAGCGGACGTGTTGATATCTAGATAAACCTCCCAGCCAAAGGAAACTGGCATCGATACCCTAAAGTCATGACCTAGGAGGCTCATATCTGGCCCCATTTGATTTCACATACAGGTCAGCCCACTTTGTAAATTTGGTGTCTTAGGCTGTCTTATTTTTCCAGATCTCAGGAGCTCAAATCGACCCCTTTCCCACCCGAGTAAAGCGTATCGAACCGGCTACCCGGGCGCGTGGTAACCTTAACTGCCAGGCTGACGGCAATCGTTTCCTTTTGACGTGGTAGGCCGTTTCTGAAAACGGGGCCACCGCCATGTTCCGTCCCGGGGGGGGGGGGGACTTATCCCACCTAGCCGGACGATGCACACTGTTTCCTCCCGCAGACTCAGTCAACGGGCGTCGCCTTGTTGCGGACCGATCGGCTAAAGCTTCCGGAGAATCCGCGTTCACCTCTCAGGCCTCGCACCTCCTAAAGATCATGCTTGGTTCGGCGAGGGGAGGTCCTGGCCACGGCCGGCTTACTCGAAGTCCCACGCCCGATCGGGAGGGTCCAGTGATCCTGGACGGGTGGTACGCAAAACAGTCGGTGCCAGATAGTACCGTCTGGTACAGACGGTACAGACAACACCCAGAATGCTGATTGTACCCAGGAAAGTGGTGTCCTTGCTCATTAACGACAATGAAAGCCCAGTCGTTCAGCCATCGCACAAATGCAAAGATTTTGTACTTTTAAACAAAGCGGACCACGTAGATAAAGCAATGAAATTACTAGGGAGCGTCAGTGCGTGTCAAGTCGCCCTGACACTGCAACGTGTTTCAAAATGGAACCATACGCCATCGTACGTGGAACTTTGAGCACAAAGCTTCCGAAAGAGGCTGCCACATATATTCTTCTGCATCCATCCTGCACAACATGATTGTATGGGCTTCATAAACCGCAAGCCAAATATTCCACTTCGTCATATCTTATTTACATGTAGCTACCCGCGAGACAAACTACCATGGTTTTTCACCTGAATCTTAGTCTAGAATTTGGCTCTAACTCTAGCACACCTGCCTAACACAGAGTTGCATCTGAAGAGAGTGAAGGCTATATTTCCTACTAAGCTTACACGGGTAAAATCGCATTCGCCACAGACGGAACAAATTTGTACCGACAACATTCCTATAAAAGAATACACAGTCTCGGTAACGAGTTTAATCGAGGACAACCTAGATATGATTTGTCTGTTTGGAATTAGCATGGTTGACTATGCCAGATAGCTAGAACACACATTAGAAAATAACCCAGTGCGCTTCGGGAATATACAAAAATGCGAAATAAGTGGCGATGGGCAATCGCTGTGCGCTGCCGCTAGCGATAGCCTTCATGCACTGGACTGAATCATTCTTTCAAGCCAAATGCGTACTAAAATCTAAGTTGCATCGGCGTTACATCGAGTACATTTTCGGACATCTAGACACGTGGGTTGAGCTCATTGTTTGGTTTCTGTGCAAAAGCCGACGAGCACCACCACAGTATTTCTTTGACATTGAAGCGCATCGCACAAACTGGTCGATTTCATTCCTCGACACTCGTTTTTTGCTACACCACGATGGTAACCTTAACACAGAACGCTACTGTAAGCCAATGACCGTTTTTGTCATATTTAGCTACAATCCAGCGCACCTTTGACCACTACCAAAGCGGTTGATATTTCACAGACCCGGAGAGCAGTGCATACGGGCATCTTTGGATCCACAATCATGTGGGCGTAATCTGACTTAAATGCCTCTCCTCTTTCGGGCGACAATAAATACAGAAGGTCGGATGTCGAACACGAATTAGGTTTTGTGCAACATATTACAGGAAGCTGGGCAGCAGAACGGGCTATGGCGGAAAAAGGGCCGGGAGTTGAATAGCTTAACAATATATACGCTATGATATAATAACGCGATAACCGAACATGTGAATGCAAGCATGCAATGCGTGGCAAATTGAAATACTACAAGTGAGTCAGCCTATCCGCTACGGCGACAATTTCGCACGGCCAGTCTGGCAGCCACTCTGACGTCATACAAACATTCAATGAGGGATCAAACCACGACGTATCGAAGAGCATATTTACTACATAGTTAAATTTTGTCTGGGGCAGAAAGTGGCACTACAAAACATGCCCATAGTTACAAGTGAGCTTAGTTTATCGTATTTGATGCTGGCACCAATATACTGAAATATAGAACATTTCCTTCGAACAACATTTTTGACTGTGCACGTTCCTAAGTTTCCGGCGATGTTCGTGATGGCTGATGCGCAGTAAGTCTCGTACGTACCTAAGAAACTTTGTCTAACTAGATTAAATTTCTTAATAGCGCCAGTGCGGCTTTTTGCAGTTTTTGACGTCAACTTTGTGCGGGATGTTGGAAGCACGAATGATTTACCTTTTTGGGTATATTTCAATGGCATTGTCTAGGCATGTTGGGAGCATTTGCCGGCTATACGTATGACATTTTAGGCGTAATATTTTGCCAAACCTTTCCTAAGCCATTGCCGTTCTTGAGGATGAGCGCAACTCGAAATATTTAGTGCCGTCAATATAGCCACAAATAAATCTTAAAATGTCGTCTAACCAACATCACCTGGTGTGTTGAAGGTCGCTAACTCAACGTAAGAGCTTTCAACTCATAATTTTATACTGCCTTTCGTGGTTCAATAAGGAATATTGAAATACAGAACCTCGCTACCTACGTTGGTGTTATTTCAATTAAGCTGGTTATCTAGCTTTCTTTCTATTGAGCCTACAGTCCCAATGTCAGGTGTGAATGTCACAGATCAGTACAAAGATGCATGCAAAACCGATTCACCGTCCATTGGTAGCAGGTGGTTTTTGCAGGCATCCAAAAGGCTTCAATCCGATCTTTTCTTTGCTGGTTCAGTCTGAAGAACTGTACGGAACATGTCAGCAAAAAGCATTAGTATGTGCTTAAATGTGCCGTATTTGTCTATTCATGGCGACAAAAGAAGACTTGGAATCTGATTGAAACGCACTTCACCAGCGTATTTTCGGCAAGCCGAATGCAACCGGATTTCAATAAAAAGTTGGATTATCGTTAGATGGATTAGACAAAAGGTTTGATGCGATTCGAGATACGGACCTACAAGTAAACTCATGAACCAATATAACCCCATCTCTGGAGTCCGCGTGTCAGCAGCCACATTAAAGTACAGAAAGCCGGCGTTTTCCTTTGGAACTCCGCGCTGGCGTCCGGTAACCAGGTCCAAGGGGTGACACGCGCTGGTGCTCCTGCTGGATGTGCTGTCATCCCCTCACCCATCACTGCTGCCTCCCACGCACCGGACAGCACCCGAAGCCGACATATTTGGGCAAATGTCAGCAATCAGTGCTGGCGCATGACTGAATGCCAGCACTGACCAGCACTGAAGCCTCAATGTTGCACAAAGCAGAGGTGAGTGGCGCACGTGCACAGTTGTAGCGAAAACTCTTCCTCGCAATGCTATTTATTGGGGTTTTAGAGCGCGCCGAATGCTGAGGTGATGCCTTCCTCGCACTGGGACGCGTCACAGCTGGTGATGCTTGCGGCCGATGATGATCGGGAAGATCGATCTCTTCGTCGCTGTTGCTGTTGCCATGTTGGCAAGGCTCTTACATGGGAATTGAGGCGCGTCAAATATGCAATTTGAAAGAGAATAAACATATCAATGTTCGGATTCCAGCATTTTCACAAATCCGCCTGCAGCATTCGCAATGTAGTTCTACTGCACCAATGTTTAATGTTCTTCCAATCGGCGAACGACGTCTCAGAAATGTATTTGAGTGATACAAAAATTACAAAGCAATCATCAGTGTACGAGCCATCACAAGAAGGCCATGTGGCAAGCAAACACCGCAGCGTCCAGCGACAAGAGAGCAAATCATATCACCGCCAGTGACGCGAAAGGACACTTCCAGAGTTGAACCCACGCACTCGGATAATCGCACGCGACGAGTGGTGGCGGTTCCCACCAGGCCACCACCCTGCGGCCGGCCTCTGCGTCCGCTCCAGTGCTGGGGCCGGCAGGCACAGCGAATGGAACCCGCGACGAGCACAGTCCGGCACACACCAAAGACAGGCGACAGGTGACGATCATGCACAGAGCGGGCGCACGACGCGTCTCACGAACAGCTAAAACAGCCGGGGCCGGATCCGGGCCACGGCGGGCATGCGCCGTGACGCACCGGCTGGCGGTGTCCGCCAACGCGACCGCAAGAGAAGCAGCTGCCGCGGCGCGGTATGCGCAGACACACGCGTACGTCTGAATGATGCGGTACATCTCCATCTAAGAGTACATTACATGAGTGCAGCTCCTCCCACGGCAGACGTTTTCCCCCGCTTCTCACGAGCGCCTTCCCGGGGAGCGGCAACGCCAAAAAGCACAGCATAACACCGATGGGGCAATGCCGCGAGTGAGATGGAAAGACGACAGCACGTAACATATATAATGGCGTCGGTAAGTAGGTGCATGAGATATCCACTAAATGCTTTACAAGCGTTTTGTACTGCCAAGCTTTTCCTTTTTGAAGAAGCGAAAGTGTCATAGAATCGCTGGGCAAGAAACATCTTCAGCAAATGCTCACACCAAAAGCTGTGCCTTTACTTCTGGAAGGCTAATAAAAAGCATTTCTTCGAATGCGACAACACCAAGCCCGGTACCTAGCCTGCCTTCCTGTCACAATCGCTGCCACCGGCGGATCAAGGACTCGCTTGACAGTCGATAGCAGTCTGGCTCAACCTGCTCGCTGCCTGACGACAGAGGCCGAGGTCAGAGGTCACCACAGAGGTCACAGCGCCGTCCGCTGCCCGTGCACGTGTGGCGTCACTCCATCCCTCCGGCGCTCGCCGCCCTCTCACTCGGGGGCCGTCTCCAACCTGTGCAGCCGCCGTCAAGGCTGTCGAAGCCGAACGCTTCTAACATCGCACGCTCTTCCTCCCCACTGTCCCATCACATCCGTACTCTCCTCGTCAGTTCCTCTCTCGGACGCTGTCGACGGCCGGTCTGTGACCGCCGCCAGCGGGCGGCGACGGCCGCGGATGCGGCCGCCGCAGCGACACAGGACGGACGACTGGTGCCGCCCGCTTCGCCACTGACCGCCTCACTCCTTGCCCTCCTCCTTCTTGGTGCCAACGATGACGGCGTACTCGGTCTTCTCGGGGCTGGGCCGCACCTCGGTCTTCACGCCGTCCTTGTTTAGCACCAGCTCGGCATACACCACTTCCGCCTCCTTCTTCGGCGACGCCTGCTCGCCCTCGGTCGCCGTCAGCTCCTTGGTCTCGTCCTGGCGGGGCAAACATCGCGTCGTTGAGGGTCCCGCATGTGAACGGCCACATCAGTGCCGAAGCACGGATGAAGAGAAGGGGGGGGGGGGGGGGAGGGGGGGGAGGGGGGGGGGGGTGGCGGTGGTTAAAATTTTCGGACCATCAGAGGCCTCTGAGAAGCTCCGTGCAGACAGTCGCAGAAATAGGCGCGAAGTTTGGCTGTATCGCTTCTAGGGCTCTCAATCGGTTCAGGAGCCCTGAATGGGGTCAGGAGCTGAGTGGACGGAACGCAACCAAACAGGGGCGGGCGCAGAGGGTTCCTAAACTCATCCGATTCAAATGAGTTCTAAAATTATCGGACCGCCCGCAAAATGTGTGTAGGAGGGCTTGGCACGGTTGGTTGTGGGAATCCGAAGAACATTAAAAAAAACTCGCCCCCAAGTGGCCAAACATTCGGAAAACTGCACGGGTTAAAGTAAACAACCACACTAAAAGGTCCGCTACGGATGCATGTTGTCCAACTGACGCATGGTTCTGACATGTGTGTTGCATTGCGCTGCGTTTCAAAGTTAGAACGCCTGCCGCCACCGAACCCCTCCCCTGGCCGAACCCATCGCGCGTCAGTTTGCTGTAGCCAACGTTCGCAGAGGTCATTTCTGAAGGTCAGAGCCGGCCCGCCGCTGCCAAAATGTCGGGCGGTGGAGCGCAGGGTTTCAGGATACCAGCGACGTGTGACAGTTGTCCGACAAGCAGCGTGGTGCGGTCCGCGTGTTTGGAGAAAAATATAGACGAAGGGAACGCGCAAGGCACAGATATCGGGCCGACATACAGACGAGGCGGGAAAATATACACGCGATTCCACAACGATGTTGTGTGCGAGGCAAGGGTTCTGCTACGTGCATCGAAGTAAAGAACAGAAAAAAACTGCATGGAGAACCAAAAAGCGAAGCATGCACTGATACCCTTAATTGCACAGTGTACTAAAATCGCCTACGGCCATGCGGCAAACTGTGCTGTGGAAACGGAAGTGCCTTTAGCTTGAATGTTCTTTTATGCGGAGTATGTTTTTTTTTAAATGGACGTGATCCATGCGGTACAATCCAGAATCTAACAGTATGGTCGAAACTTTTTTCACTGCGCGTAGGCGTACTTTTCGATAGCTAAAGACCCGGACTCCGCAAACCAATCATAATGCATGGAACATTATTATACTGCTGGGGTAATGCAGACATCAAACGCGGGCGAAATAGGTTACTGACCCGACAGGTGTGGATTTAGTTTTTCTCTCGAATTTCACGGGTGGCTGGGAGAACGTTCTCTGCCCCGTCCCAAATATCCGCAAAAGCGTCCGTAGAAATGCAGCCCTACACCGGCCTCGCTCAGCATTGTGTATGTTGCCCGGGTCCAGTAAAAAAAACCGTTACCTAAAGCTACCACCAATATTTGAAGCAAGTACCAAGTGTATTTGTAGATATCGCCAGACGGTAACCAGTATTGTTACATGGATGAGGTATGCGCCACAACCCTGTGCCACGCTTGTTCTGCAGATGACTAATAAATCTCACAAACCGTTCCAATAGCATTGATGTGTACGTGTAGACATTCCAAGCTTGTAAAGATGAAACATTCAAAACAAAACAAAACTTATCACTTGCTGACCGTTCGAAGCAGTCGCAATTGCCATTTTTTCAATTTGCTAATGCCAGGGAACAATGTCATCTTACCTACGACCGGTCCGGAGCAATGATTCCCATAGATTTAGGAGTCGATGAACAGGCTGTGTTTAAAAACGGGTGCCCTATTCAAACGACTCTGGCCTTTTCAGGTAATTATCGAGCCGCTCCAGCTAAAATGTTCAACTTTGTGACTCTTCCAACTACCAATATGGTATACCCTGCCAATATTTGGATGGCCTTCATTGCCCAAAGCCGGCTCCGAGCCTGCTACGCGACAGGAATGTCATGAGATATATGCGATTTTTCAGTGGTGGCCATCGACAAGTTAAGCTGATGTTTTTTTAGTCCCCCATTGATCAGAAATTTTTGATTTCTCCAATAACGTCTTGTACACCTATATGCACCCACTCCCATTCATACATGCAATGTTAAGTTTGAAAATGATGCAGATACCAGCAAAAGATGTAAGTGCCGGAAAAGGGTCATGCATAAGCAGGACAATGCTTTGGATGAACGTGATTCCATGCCGGTTGTTTTCAGCGATAGCGGAGTGCCGAACAATACCACAATGTTGCAATTCCCGAGAGGGAGATACACCAGATCTAAGGGGCGGTGCCAGGTGCTTAAATCTTGGAAGGATAGGTAGTTAGGGTTTCATACGCACGTCGACGTTTTATCAAGCGTACTTTTCCCCTAATACATATCCTTTCAGACTCCGTCCCCGCTCTGGTCCATTGACACGGGCGGGTTTACAATGTGAGGTTGAGGAGAGGTCCTCACTTCTTGCATTCCAATGTTTAGCGAAAAATCGAGTGCTTATCAATCGTTCATTATCAAGCCCCTGCACCACCAAATGTAAAAATGGCTTCCACACATATTTTTGGGTTCACCGTCACAAAACGCAAAAACAATTAATCATCGGAAGGATGATGTACTTGATTTGCATAAGTCTAACAGTTCACATACATCCTGCATTATCCCCTCTCAAATGTTCTATTGAAGCCTTCGGAATGTGTAATCCCGAAAATATTTGTTCGGATCGAAAGCTGTTATTCGAGGCAATGCCCGTGAAGACCGGTCCAGAAGAGTTAGAAATCTTAAGAGACCGTGTCGTTCCCTCGAGAAAATATAAAAACCGCACAATCACGTGGCCGCGTGAGACATCCGTGCCCTACTCAACCAACCGGAAAGCATGTATCAGCAGATTAAAGAACAACTGCTGAATGACGCGGGTTAACTGAAGGCGTGCTGACAGCATAAACGCCGAGCCAAGGCATTCATCTCACCTTGTTGTCGGCCATTTCCACGTCGGCCTCCCTCTTCTTGGTCACCAGGCTAGAGTAGAGGTTGGACAGTTTGAAAGGTTTCTTCTCAGGTTTATCGGTCTTTTCATCGTGAGCCGACTCAGTATCACTACTGGAACGAGTGGCCGTCACCTGCATCAGCCTCAAGCGGTGGGTGCGAACAGAGCTGAACCCGGCAGCGACCAGACAAAAGGCAACCGAGCAAAATGAAGTGCGTGCGGCTACCAGCCAAGCAAACGTCTCACCTGCGTCACGGTTGTCCCCCTTCAACATCTAGCGGCCTCGAAATGAGGAGTGCGCAGCGTGGACCTCAACACTCCAAGCGACTATTACAGGCTTCTGCTGCAGCGTTTATTAGTGCAAACATAAGAACAACAAACGAAAGGGTAGGAAAAGCAAACCAAATTTTGCCTGGTATCGAGAAAAGGGCACGTGCAGGCTTGCAAGCACAGCTGACGGCCTTCTATCAACTGGGGCAACAGCATTGTTCTGAACTCCAACCGTAACGCAACCGAGCTCAGTCATCTTGTGACGCCCTTTTGCACATGTAAGTCACAACAGAACACGGTGGCATTGAGTAGCTTCTTTAAAGCTTAAACAGTCATCTGCCATACACTTTGTGTCGCCACGCAACTATGAGACCAAGTTATCCTGACACACCGGCCACCATTGACAGGCATGTCCGTAGCGTTCGTACAGCAAGCATAGCATCGCCCAGTTTTCAATATGGCGGTACTCACGCCTCGGCCCCGGCGTCCGATGGTTTCGCTGGAACAGGAACAGACATCAGAAGGAGCCCCGACGATGCTTTCAACATGACACTTTAGCACATTATGCGACCGTCCTGATAGGTGGAAACGAAGCAGGGGTTGACATGACGTTTGCTGCTTAACCACACCTGCACTATGAAGCGTAAACGGCTCAGCCCACGGAAAAATAGAAATGATAATTTCTCAGGTGATTTTTTGTGCGGAAATGAAAAAGAAGGTGTTTCTTTTGATCCAGGCAAAGAACAAACAAGCGATTAGCGCGAAACAGTCGAACAAATAAGCCTAAGCTATGATTATTCATCTCTTAATAGTTCCGCATCAATTGCCATCCATAAACTTCTAACAAGGTATATGTCTTGCGCATTGTGTAACGAAAAGAACCAGTCAACACCTTCCATAATTTTGTATTACAACCAAACAAGTTATGGTAAAAAAATCCGACCTGCCAACAATCACAAACACTGGAAACGCGACGCTAGTAAATGTGCACACAATTGGGTGTTCGTCTGAATGTTTTCCAGTGCGGCTTTGGGTTACTTGTTTGTGAGCGATTCAACAAGCTGAGCGTAATGCTTGTTGACGATTTAAGTCAACCAACTTCACTCTAGGCCGGATAAGTGTCATGGAGTTCGTGCTTGGAAAGCAGTGCGTGTTGAAGAGCCACCATCGCTCAAAGCCGGAAAACATTGCATTTTAGATTTGTATATCCCATCAGACTGGAGGCAGGTTGAGTTTTGTGACGGCACGTCAGGTGAGGATAGACTACACTGGTCTTCACACTCTGAAATTCACATTGGCGTAGCCGCACACGCGTGCCTGGAGCCACCAAAAGATCCCAGAATCGGAAGTTCAGTATTCCATAAATATGAGATCCTATGGTATGCTGAATCCACCCATGGGATCCAGGCACAATAAATACTCAGGTCAAGCAAGTTAAGCATTTCAAACGTCAAATCAACTTTATCAGCATTTGCTAAATGGGCACTGTCTGTATTGTAGCACAAAAAGAACATTCATGATAATGACCTGAATGCTGCGTGGGTCCGATCAAGCCTGGTGAGGCCAAGTAAGGTTCGTTCAGACACCAAACAACACTAAACATCAGGTTCAAAGATTAATAACAGCATCTGAACAGTCCACTCAGCGGAAGAACGGTGCCAAAAATGAAGGCCAGATGTGCACGGGCCCAGTCAGTATACCTGGAACACGGTATTGTATTCAGAACTCTCATGCAACGCAACACACCAACACTCAACAATGTTTGCGAGCCCTTTCCGCAACGTATAATCGAAGATATAGAGTAGTGACCGCAGGTCCTCAACCTTTATATTCACCAAATTTCAGAATAAGAAAACGTTTAATCAATTTACAGGGTATGCCACAGGGCAAGTTTAGCATTGATCGTTGGCAGCTAAGGGGATGGCAAATGGTGCCACCTAAAATATCCAAACGCATTCTCTATCAGCATCCGTCACAGGTTACGCGCCAAAGATGAAGTAGACGTAGAGCAAATTAATAAGTACTTTAAACTGACACCAAAGATTGCTGGAAATTTCGCCGATAGACATCCACTGATTTATCGACGTGCCAAAAAAGCGCAGGTGGCTTTTAACGCCTCGGTGGCCCGCTGGCCACCAGGAGCACCGCAGAGTAGGCAGGCAGTGATGCCGATGCGGATACAGGCTTTGTAAGAGCACCACTACAGTTACTTTTGACTGAATGTAAAGCTGCATGTGGAACTCCATGCGCTTCACAACTTCTCGCAGCCAACATTCGGAAGTTAGCATCAAGCAGAGACCTATCAGTTGACTGTGCCCATCAAGGGATGCCGCCACTTCTACCACGGCTAGAGAGCGGGGGAATGGGCAGTAGGTTTCTCATTTACTGCAGTCTATAGCGTCACAAGCTACTTGCGATCGGAAAAGTTTCAGATTGCTCCTGCTGCGTGGAAAGGCTTCAGATGATCTGCAGACATCCACATCCACGCTTCCGAGTCTCCAATGAGCGATTAAGCTCATGGTAGCACTTCGCGCTTGTACTGCTAAATCTGCTATCTCGATTACGATCTGTGGAATGCATTTAAATGGGGCTCTGTGTAAGCTAGACTCTACAAAACCTAGCGGCGGTCACACCCCACATGCCTTGCTCAGAGTCTCCATGGATGGAACAAGTGGGCATTTTTTAACATCCAAAATCTCGCGCATGTGCTAGCGGCACGCCTAAGATCATCCATAAACATGGTGACCTTACTGTGCTTCAAACTGGTGCATTAGCCCGCATGCGGGGTAAGCTTTGAATGCACGCACACTGCGCTGAAGGCAGGGCGATCAAGATAAAACAGTCACGAGGTAAAAGCCAATGGCGCCGGAGCAGTCGAAGTATGCGTCAGCGACGAAGCTGCGTGCACCAGAGCATCTTACGTCACCAGTCACAATGTATTTATATCTCCAACCACTCTCGCGTCATTCAACATAAGCTGACACTAAAACACTCCAGCGACACAAGCGTCTTTGTCCACGGCTCTTCCCGCAGCCAGCCAAACAGCTAGCGGTCACTGCACCTCGTCACTGTCACTGGTCTTCGACAGATGTCGCGGTCTCGCGGCGTGCGAGACGTGACGTCAGATGCGACGCGTGACGTCAGAGTGGGCAGCGCCGCAGAGAAAGACGTCAGAGGAAGCGACGTCAGGCGTGTGACGTCAGCGCAATGTGACCTAGCGGTGAGGTATTCGCAACGACGAAAGCGCGTCGTCGGCCGACACATCGGCCGGCCCGCGCGGCGCACTAAAACCCGGCCGCGGAACGCGCGCCCTTCGAGAACGGCACCGCGCACCACGACGGCGACAAAAGCAAGGCGACACTCGCCCCCGTCCAGACGCGACGCCACCGCGCGGCGCGGCAGCTGGCGCGAGCCGTGCGGCGCGGCGGCGGCGTCCCCGAGAGGCCAGGAACGCCCCGAGTATCACAGGCGGGCGGCAGGCGCAGGCGAGCCGCCTCCGACCGCACTCAAACCGGCGTGTCGGTCGGCGTCTTGCCGTTGCCGTTCCTGTGCTCGGCGGCGTCGGCGTCCGGCTTCTGCTCGTGGCCGGGGTTGTCTTGGCCCTCGCCAGCCTCACTGTCCATGTGCGCGCGCCACTCCTTGCGCGCGCCGCCGCCGCCGCCGGCTGTCGGCCCAGAAACAGCACGGTGAGGCGTCTGGTGGGACGCGCTCGGGGCACGCCGGTCCCCGTTGCTACGTTAAACACAAACTGCCGACCGGTGATCTTCAAGGGGGCAAAGAGATAGGCGGCAGGCCTTGTGGAAGCAGTAAACTGGGTGTCAGGGGATGTTTTGGTAAAATCGTTTGCCACGGGTTAGTGAGTTACTGACGGTGAAATCGAGAGAGAAGCTGTCGCCAGAGAAGGGAGATAGGGAGCCACAACCACCGCCTCAACGTGCTGTTTCCGGCTTACAGGGACAGCCGGCGGCGAACTGCGCGGGCGAGGTCACATCAAACACGCATGCGTCACACCAACCAATGCGATTCGCGTGTCTCGATTAGGCTCTACGTGTAGACAAGCTGGTGCTAAGACAGCGTAGATGTTAACATGTGATGAGCATGTGGTGACGATTGCGTTCGAGGCTTGCAGGAGAATACTAAGGTTGGTAATTGTCAGAAATGCAGCAGGTGCAGCCGTAAATATTCCTTGAGATAGACATGCCTCTAGGGTTCATAGGTTGTAGCTCAGACGCATTAGAGCCTTGATGAATTTTTGTCGCTCACAAGCTCAAGTGAAACAAAGAGTCAAGGGACCATATAAAACCATCAGGTTTAGTTATGATAAGAAAACAATCTAACAAAGATTTCCATAGGTTCATGCACTGTTTTAGTTTACTTTTGACACCGCATAAAATTGTTAGTGGATTGCTGTCTAATGACTCAATGGAAATCGTGATAACATGCATATTAATGTAGTAGGGCACACCGCAGTTGCACATGGTAAGGTTAGTCTACCGCTAAGCCCCAACTAGTTGGTGTATGATATAGCGAGACAACTAGAGGCATAGCCACATATAACTTTGGGTGGCAAAACCAGCATGTGGAAGGGCCAATATCTTAGTGCCAAGTAGTCCCGGGTGTGGTGGCAATGTCAGCAAAGTTGGTGGTCCCGATAGACATGCAGCTACCATGCAGCTGTCACAGTGTATGGACTTGACCCAGTACCAACCGCCACCAGACTTGCTGTTAACACTAGACACAACCTGCACCAGCGTGCACAAAAGACAGAGGCGCAGCCAGCAGCAGGTCTGCGGCGTCACCAGATTGGTGCCGATAGACCAAACACAAAGCATCTGACGATGACAGATGTGTAGATGCGGATCAAATGCACCCAGTGACCGGCAAAACTTCCGCTGGTTGCGCCTCTGTGCACGATGCTAAAGATGGCTTACGGTTAATCTATAAGATGGCGTGTTGAAGAGAGAAAAGGATCGATGCTGTCAGGTCAGATGGTGGAGGCAAATTCATCGCAGATTGCGTAGCACTTTATATGCCTTGCTACGAAAGGTCGCATACAACTATAGGCTGCACACAGAGCGAAGCCGGACGATATGAGGCCTGGCAAGCTTGCTACCTGAGCAGCATTTTGGTTACATCGCATTTACCCCGACGCGGGGTCGGGAGATGGTTAATTGGTCGTCGCAAGCAGCGTAACACCATCGCACGTTCGGAACGCACCGCACAGGTAATACCATAGGCTGCAGCTACAACTATACAGGCGCCACGATACCGAGAACACCATCAATGAATCAGATCCCCGTCAGTTCCAAATGTCAGACACCCGTTGTTCACGGCCGCCACGCGAATGATCCATTTGGATGGCCGAACGATATTGCAGCTACCTGCGTTTGTGGTCGAGAAAACAGGCGTACTCTGCCAAATAAAAAATAAATACTGCGCAACCGTCACCCACCAAACAGTTCATGCGCCAAATGCGCCACAGACGTTAAAATATGGTCTTCATAATTCCAGGCACTTGGTTAAATCGGATCTAGAATCCACGGTCCACATGGTCCATATCCGGGCCGCTGCTAGCGAACCTAGGGGACGGAGTTGGAACCATAGCTTGCCGGGCGATCCTCCGAGCGCGACTCACCGGCGAAACACCACTTGCCACGGCTACGTCCGAAGACCACGACGCCGATGATCAGCAGTAGGAGGACCAAAGCGACGATGATGCCGGCGATGGCGCCTCCGTCCAGCGACCCTGGAATCGCCGATGGACGCGTTAGAACATCACGCCGGACATCAGCACCGTCCGTGCGGCGCGCGAACAGCAGCAGACGGCTCGGCTAAGTAGTCTCGTCTGCAGCATGTCTACTGATCGACTAAAACGTCACGCTGCCAACATCACGCTTTGGATTTACGGTGAGCTCGTGAATGTGCTGGGCATGCGCTGTGGCTACAGCAGAGAGATCCATGGACTTCCAAGTATATGTGTCAACCAGCACTTGGGTTTACTGAAAACACTCGCTAACGACACTACTAACTCTGCAAGCTAAGGGTCCACTATAAAGCCGATAGTGACGGAAGAGTCCACGGAGAGTCCACGAGAGAGTCAAGCGCGCCACCAAGCGAACGTACCTCAGATGGCCACTCAAGCTCGCACGCACTCGGCAGAAGCGGATAACCACTCTCCTCCAAGAAAACGCGATATACCAGTCTGCGACAAGTCGAAAGCTCGGTTCGTGGATGCACCGCGTGTGGTTTTGTTCAGACCATCGGAGGACTGACGGCGCCACGGTGGCACCACTGCGCTTGCTTCTGCGCTCGCTTTCTGGCGCCGCTGTGGCTGCATGCCGGTCACTGGGGCGCCGTCATACTCGTCCTAGCCAACCCGCCTCGCTCAAGCCCGCAGTCCAGGCTGTGGTGGGCTCATTCATATCGACAGGCAGGCCCCCACGTCACCAGCGCATTCTGCCGTGCTGGTGCGGCTCGCGCGGCTGCAGCAGCTGCCCTCCCAGCAGCGACCAGCGCAGGCCTCCCGCCTCCAGCAGCCAGTGCAGCCCGCGGTCCAGCGCATCCCGCGGGCCAGCAGCCCGGCCCGCCCCGCAGGCAGGCTGCCCACCAGGGGGCGGTCTACAGAGGGCGGCGCGGGCGCGCGCCCGGCCGCCGAGAACTCATCCTTGCCATTGTGGGCGTCGCTGTTGGGGCGGCCGGCGCCGTCAGCGTCGGCCGTTGGGCCGTTACCTTCCGCGGCCGGCTGAGGCGGCGGCGGCGGCGGCGCGCCGGTCCCCATACGGAAGTCCAGCGTGGACTCGCCGATAGCGTTGGCCAGCCGCAGCTGGAACGGCACGTCCTGATCGCTCTGCACCACCGGCATGATGGTGAGCGTCAGCGCGTACTGGTGCTCGGCCGGGTTCACCTGCGGCGGAGGGCGAGGGTGAGACCGGCCATGCGGCCACGGTTCGCAAGCGCAGGCCACAGATGGCGCTACGTGGCTGATTTGTGCGGGGGCCAACCGTCACTCAGCTTCGCCCAATGAAAGTGACATGGTGTTCAGCTAGTCTGGCCCGTGCTGGTGGCTGCTGATGGCAGGCGGCGCCAGCGACAGCAGTGCAGCGTAGATGTACCAATCTCTGCCCACATCCAGATCACACGCGCACAAGCATGACGGTATCGTGCTAAACGAACTCGGAAAGAGCGGGCTACCGGAGGCGTATTGGTCACTGCTGCTTCCAAAATCTTCGACATGGCACATAATCAATTCAAGCCCACAATTTTCAGCGCCGCTCGCAGAAGCGCTAACCCTCCAAAAGACCCGCTGCGGAGCTCCACGAGTCTCCCGCCAGCGGAGCATACACTCTCCAGCCTCGTGCCGCCCACCAGCCCACCCAGCCTTGCCCTCCGACCGGGCTCCAGCGGAGGCGGCGGCGGCGGCCGCCGCCGCCACCGCCGCCGCCGCCCCGCCACGCTCGCGACACCCCAGCCCCATCC